TTTGGGGCCATGGTCGTTTCCTCCTACCTCTAGTACTCGCTCGCAGCCCGGAGACAGTCGACGGCTTGCTAATTACCATACCTAGATACTCCTGATGTTCCGAAAACAGATTCAGTTTGGCCACTTCTCTTTTGAGCCTGACGCATCTGCCCTATTTTCAGTCCTCTGTGGTCTAATTCGACTCTACAGGCTGGCAGTAAAGGCAAATCCATCTTACTTCGTTCGGTCAGATATCATAACCTCGGCCAACACCCCATTCAACATCAAGCCACAGGGGATTCCATACTGCCGATAGACTTCCCTGATCGTTTGGAATATAATGTCTGGAACACCATGCTGTGCAAGGCTGCAAAAAGCTCGCCATATAGGTTTGCCACAGGCTGCCACGCACTGCGTCACCTGATTTGCCTTCCCTACCTCACTGATACTATTCAATACCATCCGGCAATTGAGGACGCATTTCTGACAGAGATGTTGAATTCCAAAGAAATTTTGAAGGAGGGTAGAGACTCTCGATTCATAGAGGCAGCAAATCGGCCTTGGGAGCCGAAGATTAACGCGGACGCGAACTCGAAGGCGAACGCGAAGGCACGAGACGGCGAAGGCAGACATACCTAGACAGCTCACAGCTTGGCCTATTCCCATAGAATGAGCTTGAAGCAGGTCCGCAACAGTCCGAATAAGGCAATGGCTGTGAGCTCCTAGCGCGGTCAGCGACCAAGCAACGGGGATTTATCCGCTGCTATTGCAGGCGAAATACTTCCCTCATGTGCCCGTACTAAAGGACAACTACTTTGAATGCCTTGCAGCTCACCAAGTCCCGCACATTTTGTAAGACTGCTCGGCTGCGAATATCATTGTTGAAATCACAAAAGGTGCCCCCGTTGGGAGGTTCTGCTAGGTGCGCTTGATGTGACTTTGGTGAGTTTCAATGTGTCGGCCCTTCACAGCCTCAGTGGGAACCCCTTCCTGTTCATCCTTCGCCGCATCCGGACGCAGGACTTGGCAGGGCCCAGCCGAGATCGCCATGTTCTCTGAGTGCTCGGTGTGCAAACATGGTTTGTCGGCCGCTTTCCCCAGGGGCCCCCACCTGTTTCGCCCTAGCCTGTCATTATGGTCTTTATCACGCTATTTACACAGCCCTGAGAAGTGCGACCACCCACTTTCCGAGACCCCCGAAAGTCGCGTTCCAGACCACGCCCTATTACCAACGTTAAGATTTCAGACACAGGGTCTTGTGTAACCCTTCGAATCTCTGGCCCTCAGGACCTGCTATTCGATTCCGACCGCCTGGAAATGGGGTCCACGTTCTGTCCTCATGGATTTCTGGCGCAGCCACGTGAGACCAATTCGAAGGAACCAGTCATCTTGAGATGGCTTTCCCCGAGGTCGGCGCTGTGGCAAATTTCATTGACATGACTATGGTCGTCATCATCATAGCCAGCAATGAGTTGAAAGAGTGCTGTGGGAGTATCCGTACTAGTCATAGTACTTGCCAAAATAATTCGAATGACCATGTTACGTTGTAAGAACACCAAGATGAAAATCGCCACCCTTGGACAGTCTTGCTCTTTCGATAATTCAAAGATTCACTGGAATGGTGAGTGACATAAGAGGTAGCACCCAATACGAAGAAGATTCTTTCTGGGTAGCCTCTAGCCCTTGACCTTTTCCAATCCAGCCAAGATTTAGTCTGTTTTATCGCTTTCCACATATGGTTTAGAGTGTCGGATGAGGTCCCAATGGCCAAGCCGACTCCCGGCGGGCAAAGCTGACATTCTGGTGTGGGCTCCCAGCAGTCTGGAGCCAACGCAACGACCTTTTACATACACTATAATTATCACCCTGCAGGTATCGGCCTGCTTTTGGAACCTATCTTGATCAGAAAGCGTCCTATGTCGTGTGAATGAGTTGAGGCAGAGCCAAGATGATGGGTACTCCGCAAGCACTCTTTTCTTCATAAAAATGGAAGCCCTGCATCATGCATCCAGACTAGTACGTGGGTGCCCAGATTGCGACCTGCCAGGTTCATGACTCTCCGTCTCTCAGATGCCAGTCGGCTTCGGGTTAGGCGCAGGAGCGATGGAGGGAAGCAACACAATCCGCCGAGATCCCGGGGCGCTGCTTCGGTGAGCTGAGCGGCAGATTGGCTTTGCCCGTTTTTGTGCATGAAACACAGAAAGAGCGACATACCATCCGTAAGACATGTTGGTCTGGATGGCGAAGCAAAGGGATCCGAAAAATCGAGTTCCGTATCCGTGAGTGGACAAAACTAGGTGGGTGGGGGGAGGGGAGGGGGTGTTGATTTGGATGGCTGGATTAGGTATGAATATGAGCAAGACACAGCTGGCAGTCCGTCCGGCCAGTGGGATTGACAAGGCCTAGTGCGGACGCGGCCCGGAGTCATGGTCACCAACGCCCGTAGGCCCGAAGGATCGGCGCAAGGGTTCAAAAGTCATATTGCTACGTACCTACATACCTCTTCCAGCGGCAATATCGACTCAACGGTCTTCTTTCTAGATCGTGTCTCAACTGTCAGCCGTCAGATGACCAAGGGACATGCATCATGATTAATGTTACACAGTAAATTCCGAGAGTCGTCTACGGCATGTGACGAATCAGAGACACTTCGTGCCGACTTGATTTTTTCCCACGGAAGAAATCCAAAGGTAAAACCACTTGGGCATTGTCTATTGAGTCCCTCTGTGTATTGCCGAGGCATGTTCTCGGTTCCCCCTTCCTATGGGGCACTACCCATCCATCGAGAGGCGCCTGGCTTGGAATCAGAATACTTAGTGCGAGGTCTCCGGCTCGTTCCACCCAATTAAGAGTCGGCATCAGAAGTTACAAGCACAGGTGCAACACAAGACATATCAGGTCATTCCACCGTCATTCCTAGAACCGAATCCCTGTCTTCCAGAAGGACTCAGAAGAACGTAATTACGTTACAACCCAAGTCCAAGGGACACCAGAACCACGCAGCCAATGACCCCTATGACCAAAAGTTCATCCCACTGAGCGCCAAATGATCGAGACGCAGACGATGTAGTTACGGCAGGAGTCTTGCCAGAGCTCGAGACGGTGGCAGCAGGCGCATTACCGCTGGAGCCTCCGGCAGGATTGGCAGCAGATGAATGCCCTCCGGGGGCGTTGCTAGCTGGAGGCTGCGCCAACGGAGGACTGCCACCAGGCTGGGTGGCAGCAGGCTGGCCAGCGGGACTGCTGCCTCCAGGGACCTGACTGACGGTTTCCTGCGGAAGCTGAGTATTTGGCACCTCATAGTGCTGCGTCGATGCAGGAGAAAATCCTTCCCCAGCTGTGATTGGGGGAATGGCGCAGTTTGAGTTCTCGCAGAGAGAGATTGTCTGCGGCGGTAGTAAGAGAGTGTTGGTGACCATCGAGAGTGTGACGGATACTCCGCACACCTCAAGGAATGGATCGACAACAGGGGGCGCAGCAAGTGCAAGGGGAATAAGATGTAGAACGATGTAATACTTCATATCGATGATGATGATCAATACTGCCTGAGCTGAATGATGTACGAGTGGCTGCCAAAATTCTTGACTCAACAGCCTTGTTTTTCCGGACGTGAGCTTTTATATATCCTTATGGCCAACTGCGATATCCGATCCGTAGGTAGCGCAAGTGCCATCGTGCCTTTCCAGTGCACAAAATGCTTGACTTACCTGACTAGAGAAAGAGTGTGCCTAAAGTGAATCCGAGGAAATCAGCATCACTTCGTCGACGAGGGGGTTTTGCTTCTTCTTTTTGCCCATTTCCAGCTAGTGTGTTGATTATGTGAGGCCATACTGCATGCAGATAGCGTTCAGGTGTCAAAACAGCCCACCCGGTGGAGTTTGCGATCTTTTGACTGGTAGTCCGTCCGCCTTGAGGAGTTGTACTTGCTTCCCTTCCCAAACTCCTCTGGCAAATGTCTGGTTCTGGATAATGGCCAAGTCAGTTCCACTCAGGATAGGGTAATATACTGGAAGATCACGAGCCCCACAGCACAATGACTCTACTATACGAGTTTCGATGTTTGCAGGAAGCAAGCTCAACCTACAGGATCCGTTGCCGAACATCGCAATGTGAGCGACGAGAATCTAGGGCCGCTCGTCTGGACTACGGGCAAAGTTTGTCTGGACGTAAGCTCGAAGCAGCTGCCATCTAACGCTGGGGTTCCGTCTCTGAGGTTTAAGTTGTGGCAATAGCTTCATACTCAGCTGGACAAGGATGCCCGCAAGCAGAACCACCACGCACTGCAATTTAGAGATTTTGGCCGACTACCCAAATAAGTCTATATCTCGCCACAAACAGGCAGCGAACGGCATGCGATCTCCGAAAACTCAGCAACTCATACCTAGCAAGACTACATGTACTTCCTTATTGATAAGCTAGATTTCGGTTCTGCGTCTAGCAAAGACCTTTCATTTTGTCCTTTTTCTCCGCTACCTCCGCTTGCCATAGTTGAAGCACAGCTACGCTTAGGGTCCTGCTGGACGCAATGAGCCGTAGTCTATCTTCTCGTCATCGCGAAGCGGTCGCTAGAGCTCGCCCTAGTGAAGCCCTGTATGAAAACGATACGAGGTCGAATGGAGTGAATATTAGCAATCGTCCCGGGTTCCCGGGATACCTCTGTCAGTGGTACTGATGATGCTACCTGTTTCCAGCTCAGCCGTCAAGGGTTGAGCTGTTTCTGGATAGAATCCGGGTCTCGTTGAGGTTAGAAACGGAAACCACAGACTTTCACTCAGCTCGGGTGAGAAAGTCGACGAAGGTTTGTTCGCTCCTGGATGTGTTGTGACAAGAATGTCGCGTCTTTCAATATCTTGAAGTTGAATAAAAGTGCATTATAAGAACCTTTGATTTCTCAAGCCCTGGTGCACAACTCAACTAATAATCATCTCATCCATTTTTCTTTCAAAGTTTCTCAAAAGATCTACCTCTGTACCCAGCCATCGTTGCATGCATCGAGCGCCTCATACCAGGTGTCGATCAACATGAAACGAATTTCTACCCTTGCTACTGCCATGAGCTTCATGGCTCTTCTCCCATGGCCGGGCTTAGCAAGTGCGGATTGTCCAACCACTGGACCTGGTGCGAGTCCTACGACTATTCAGCCCATGGAGATTGTTCACTGCATTCCGCTCCATCTCAGCACTTCAGTTTTGCTGAATACTACATTCACTGTTATGGGCACTCCAGTCAAAGTCACCAACGCTCCTACCTTGGTGACTTCCGACTTCTTGGCTACGACCACGGTCACCTACCTCTCTCCTGTGTAAGTGACAGGCTTTGGATCAATTGAGATGTTTCTGACAAATCATTCGAACGTTTTAGCAATACCCAATCGCCCTACGCAGGTCCTTGCGTCACGGTTAGGGCAGCACTGCCTCCCGGATCAAAGCCTTCTACTATTATCATTCCCCCACAAAGTGGACAGGCTACAGGAACCAAGTACATCTGCTCGCCGCTTGAGTCGAATATGCCGTGGTTGCCGGGCCTAGGCAACCCAACCGCCGGCGGCAAGTCTCCATTCATAGGAAGCCTGACGACGGTCACCGCTCCCTACGCGGGCTCGATTATGACGACGTTGACGATTCCCCCTACTGGAAGTGACCAGACAGGCACTGAGCTCATCCTCAAGCCCACGCCCAATAACGGAGATGCCCCTTTCAACGGTCCTTGCACGACGATAACAGTTCCTGGATCCGGCACAGCATTGACAACTTTGACTGTGCCTCCATCGGGATCTGACCGCACTGGCACTCAAATTGTTTGTCTCCCCTCCGCTACTGGAGGTCTGGTAACTAGCACGTCAACAGGGACTCAACCCGGCCAGACTGGGCTGATTACCCTTACCCCTGGAAAGCCTGGCGATCCGACTACCATCGTCACGATTGTTCCACCTGGTGGGCGGGTAACTTCTACGTCAACAGGAACTCAACCTGGCCAGACCGGGTTGATTACCCTTACCCCTGGCAAGCCCGGCGATCCGACTACCATCGTCACGATTGTTCCACCTGGTGGGCGGGTAACTTCTACGTCAACAGGAACTCAACCTGGCCAGACCGGGTTGATTACCCTTACCCCTGGCAAGCCTGGAGATCCAACTACAATTGTCACAATTGTACCTCCTCCATCGGGAGGATTGGTTACTTCTACATCTACTGGCACTCAACCTGGACAGACGGGACTACTGACCCTTCCCCCTGGAAAGCCCGGCGATCCAACCACGATTGTTACTATCGTACCTCCTCCGTCAGGCGGATTAGTAACATCTACGTCGACCGGAACCCAGCCAGGTCAAACTGGATTGCTGACTCTGACGCCTGGCAAGCCTGGAGATCCAACTACAATCGTTACTATCGTACCTCCTCCCACGGGAGGATTAGTAACATCTACGTCGACGGGCACTCGCCCAGGTCAGACCGGATTACTGACTCTGACGCCCGGCAAGCCTGGAGATCCTACAACGGTCGTTACCATTGTGCCGCCACCTAGCGGCGGGCTAGTTACCATTACTTCAACAGGAACCCAGCCTGGACAAACTGGTCTTCTCACCCAGACGCCTGGCCGCCCTGGCGACCCAACGACAGTCATCACAATTGTTCCCCCTCCTACCGGTGGACTTGTCACGATTACTTCAACAGGAACCCAACCTGGGCAAACTGGTCTTCTCACCCAGACGCCTGGCCGCCCTGGCGACCCAACGACAGTCATCACAATTGTTCCCCCTCCTACCGGTGGACTTGTCACGATTACTTCAACAGGAACCCAACCTGGGCAAACTGGTCTTCTCACCCAGACGCCTGGCCGCCCTGGCGACCCAACGACAGTCATCACAATTGTTCCCCCTCCTACCGGTGGACTTGTCACGATTACTTCAACAGGAACCCAACCTGGGCAAACTGGTCTTCTCACCCAGACGCCTGGCCGCCCTGGCGACCCAACGACAGTCATCACAATTGTTCCCCCTCCTACCGGTGGACTTGTCACGATTACTTCAACAGGAACCCAGCCTGGACAAACTGGTCTTCTTACTCAGACGCCTGGCCGCCCTGGCGATCCGACCACGATTGTGACCATTGTGCCCCCTCCTACCGGTGGGTTAGTCACCTCAACCTCAACAGGAACTCAACCCGGCCAGACTGGTCTTTTAACACTAACGCCCGGTCGTCCCGGCGATCCTACGACAGTCGTTACTATCGTGCCACCTTCCTCAGGCGGAGTAACGACTGTCACATCTACTGGCACTCAGACTGGCCTGACGACTCTAACACCTGGTCGACCCGGCGATCCAACTACTGTTGTTACTTTCATTCCAAGTCCCACTGGCGGCATCGTCACGGTCACCTCTACAGGGTCGACTACTGGCCTCGTTACTCAGACACCCGGGCGACCCGGTGATCCAACTACGGTCGTGACCATTGTGACGCCTCCTGCCGGTGGGCTGACCACTGTCACATCCACTGGCTCAACGACTGGGCTGACTACCCTGACTCCTGGAAGGCCTGGAGATCCTACCACTATCTTGACCTTCGTTACGCCCCCAGCTGGTGGCATTGTCACAGTCACTTCTACAGGCTCAACCACTGGCCTTGTTACCCAGACTCCCGGACGACCTGGAGATCCGACGACGGTCGTGACTATTGTTCCCTCTCCTCTCGGCAGTATCGTCACGGTTACTTCTACAAGATCTGCCACCGGCCTCACTACTCAGACCCCTGGGCGCCCTGGCGATCCCACCACTGTCGTAACCTTTGTTACGCCTCCTGCTGGGGGACTGACTACAATTACCTCGACGGGATCGCAGACTGGTCTCACGACCCTGACACCTGGAAGACCTGGAGATCCTACTACTGTAGTGACTATTGCGACTGGCCCTCCTCCTGTGACAGTCACCTCGACAGCCTCGACCACTGGTTTGACTACCCTCACACCCGGAAGGCCTGGAGACCCTACTACAGTCGTTACTTTCGTTACTGGTCCCCCTTACGTCACGATCACTTCAACAGGCTCATCGACTGGCCTGACCACTTTGACTCCTGGAAGACCTGGAGATCCTACTACTGTAGTGACTATTGCGACTGGCCCTCCTCCTGTGACAGTCACCTCGACAGCCTCGACCACTGGTTTGACTACCCTCACACCCGGAAGGCCTGGAGACCCTACTACAGTCGTTACTTTCGTTACTGGTCCCCCTTACGTCACGGTCACGTCGACAGGCTCTTCGACTGGTTTGACTACGCTTACACCTGGAAGCCCTGGAGATCCTACCACTGTTGTCACAATCGCAACTAGCCCGCCTCCCGTTACATTGACCTCTACTGGCACAACTACAGGCCTGACCACGGTTCCAGGAGGTCCCGGAGGCCCAGCTACAGTGATTACGATTGTTCCTCGGAAGGGATTCCTGGTTACGCTCACATCTACCGCGACCACAACTGGACTTACAACGGTTATCCCAACCGATCCATTCGACGGCACTACCAGCGTAATCACGTTCGTCACACCGCCAGCCCCGGTGACTCTTACATCTACGGGTAGTACAACGGGACTCACCACGATTCCCCCTGGTCCCAGCGGTGGTCCCTCGACGGTTGTGACCTTTGTGACCTCTCCGGCGAGTCCTCTTTCTCCCGTGACCGTTACATCGACGGGGTCGACCACAGGCTTGACAACACTACCTCCTGGGCCAAGCGGTGGCCCGTCCACTGTGGTCACATTCGTTCCGCGTGTTACTGGCTTTTTGATAACTCTCACATCTACGGCCAGCCAGACGGGACTCACCACTATCATCCCGACGGATCCAGCCGGCACTACGAGTATTATCACATACGTCACGCCCTCTGCACCTCTTACGCCCGTCACTGTGACTTCAACTGGAACCGGTACTGGCCTGACCACCCTTCCTCCCGGCCCCAGTGGCGGTCCGTCTACCGTAGTCACATTTGTCCCATCTCCCACCGGTGGCTTGACAACGGTCACATCGACGGGCTCGCAGACAGGCCTTACCACCATAATTCCAACAGACCCGGCCGGTACTACGAGCGTCATAACATTCGTCACGCCCAGCGCTCCCCTTACGCCAGTCACAGTTACGTCAACGGCATCCACCACTGGCTTGACCACTCTTCCTCCTGGTCCCAGCGGCGGCCCTTCAACTGTCGTGACTTTTGTCACTTCCTCTACTCCTCTTACGCCGGTTACTGTCACGTCAACGGCGTCAACCACCGGTCTGACAACCATCCCACCTGGCCCCAGCGGTGGCCCTTCAACTGTCGTCACTTTTGTCCAGACTCCCACTGGCTTCATCACAACGGTCGTATCAACAGGCACCCAGACCGGTGTGACAACTTTGCCTCAAACCAACCCGACCGGCACGACTACTGTCATCTCTTTTGTGCCTCCGGTCACTGGCGGACTTATCACTCTTACGTCAACTGGCACGCAGACAGGCGTCACTACTCTGCCTCAAACGGATCCTGCCGGAACAACGACTGTGATTACCTTCGTGCCCCCGATCACTGGCGGACTTATCACTCTTACGTCAACTGGCACGCAGACAGGCGTCACTACTCTGCCTCAAACGGATCCTGCCGGAACAACGACCGTGATTACCTTCGTGCCCCCGATCACTGGCTTCCTTACAACAGTTGTTTCGACCGGCACGCAAACTGGACTGACTACAATTACGCCAACTGGATTGGGCGGCACAACAAGTGTCATCACCTTTGTGACTCCCAGTCGTACCAGTAGTAGCAGCTCGACTTCGACCACGCCCACTCCTGGACCGACTTATAGCTGCGATGCTGGAGGCTACTTGATTCAGGGCACAACTTTATATCGCTTGAATCTTACCACTGGTGTTCAAACCACAATAAGCACAAGCGTCGGGCCCGGTGACGCAGTCAACGCAATTGGCTATAACACTCTTGACAACTATATGTATGGTGTTACAACGATCAATGGTAGATATCGCATCCTCCGTATCGCAAGCAACGGTCAGGCTGTTGCCATTGGACAGGACCTTCCTCAGTTCTATAACGTTGGAGATGTAGATACCGATGGCCGCTTCTGGGTCAGCTCACGCGGTAGAGACTGGGCTGAGATTGACTTGAACCCGGCGTCGTCTACCTATGGTCAACTGCTCAACAACGGAACAGCGACTCTCGCGCAAGAGATAGCAGACTGGGTGTATCTTCCGACCGGAGGTGACTATTTGTATAGTGTCACAGGAGTCAATGGCGATGGGCGAAATCAGTTGGTCCGATGGAGCCGAACTACCCATACGTGGACGATTGTGAGGGTGTTGCCTGATCTTACAACCGACAATTCCCAATTATTCTTCGGAGCGTTATACCCCTCTAGCGACTCAACCTTTTACGGTTCGGACAACAATAGCGGCAAAATCTACAATTTCCGAATCAATAACCAGAACCCTGTATTAGTGACTCCTGGGCCGGCCTCTGACAGCAACGACGGTGCTCGTTGCGTTTTAGCACCCAATCCTCAGAATCCTGTTACTTCAACTTCAACTAGCAGTTCCACGACTTCTCCGCCCGTAAGCGGTTTCCTCACAACTGTCATCTCTACAGGAACCCAGATGGGCGTCACCACCCTGCCCCAGACCGACCCGGCTGGCACCACCACCGTGGTTTCGTTTGTGCCGCCCGTCACGGGCGCCATCACCACCGTCGTCTCTACGGGAACTCAGACGGGCATCACCACGCTTCCTCAGACCAACCCAGCTGGCACGACCACGGTCGTCTCTTTCGTGCCCCCAGTTACGGGCGCCGTGACAACTGTGGTCTCTACGGGAACCCAGACGGGCGTCAGCACGCTTCCTCAGACCGACCCAGCTGGTACAACCACTGTCGTCACTTTCGTTACTCTAACAAGCACGAGCACATCCACAACGGCTTCCCCGACTGTCAGCCAAGCACCATTCACGTGCGAAGATCCCTATGGATACCTGGTTCAACAGGCTACACTTTACACTGTTGATCTCGCAGCTGGTACCCTTCGACAGATTGGAAACGTGGGAGCTGGCGGGAATGTCCAAGGTCTCGGCTATAATCGACGAGACAATTTCCTCTATGCCTGCGAAGCCCTTGCGGATTCAACATGCCGAGTTTTGAAAATTGGTTCCGACGGATCTTGGAAGTATATGAACACTATTGTACCAAACAATCCGGTCATCAACGCTGGCGACTTCGATTCCGCCGGTCGCCTGTGGCTTTATGCTGGAGGTGGGACGGCGCAGCGCTATGCAGTCGTAGATTTGGTGCCTGGTTCTTCGACTTATGACACAATCATTGCTTCTGGTCCAATCAGCGCAACACTCGAAGCCAAGGATTGGTCATACGTACTTGGCGGAGGAAACTACTTTTACTCGATGAGAAAAGCTAACGACGCTGCAACAACGTACGAACTGAGCAGATTCAATCTGGCGACTTTGTCCTGGGAGGATTTGCAGGCGTACCCCAATCAGAATGCAACCCCAATTGGCGCAACTTACTCTGGTAATAACGGAACACTTTACTTCGGAGAAAATTCTACTGGCAACATTCGTTACGTTGACGTCAATGCCCGTGGTAGCCTCTCTACACTTAGCACCGGACCGACGAACTCCCAAAATGACGGTGCTCGCTGTATCGATAGTTCAAACATTGTTTAGATAGGCTGAGTCACTTTCTATATCATCAAACTTAGCGATGTAGATATCTAATCTCCTGAGATCAAATTTGAGATATCTTGTTTAACTGGGCTGTATGGGAGCTTATTAGTAGTTTATAATGAGAGAATAATTATAGTTTCTTTTGTAATAATTTATTTTTATCGTCGCGAAGCTTAATAAAAAAGTCCGAATTACTGAGAATACTATTAACTTTTGCTAAACTTGTATTAAGAGGAAGTAAAAGAGATATACTTATAGGAACTATTATTCCCCTAGTAGAGTAGTCCGCTAGGGCCGCACAGGTGTTGGCGAAGGTAATATCAGGATACTAAACTTCCTATCGGCACATTGTCTGCATCCCAGAGTGCTATGTGCGACTTTGGCTGCGAACATCTAGCGAGGTGGTGATGTTGTGGTTCTCTTCTCTTGAGCTCTTACAAATGAACTAACTGACATTTCCCCGTGGGTTATTGGACATAGAAGCGAGTAAGACACAGGTTGTCCACTCCAGAACCCCAGCGATTCTCTCCAAGCCCCAGTTTGGGAACTCCATAGGGAGTTCTGGGGGGGAGGGGGTCGGACCCTCTGTGAGGGGCTCAGAGGAGCAAGATTCTTAGTGGCGAGTCAGGCGGTTGCATTTCACTGCGTCCAGTCCAGTTTTCTCGTATGATGGAGGGAAATCAGTCATTGTCAACCCGGCGTTGAACCAGCGATGTTGTACAACGGCGGTGAAGCTGGCGTACAATTTGACATCGGGAATCGAGGTATTGAATCGGCTCGATCATCATTGTCGAGTTTGCAGGACGTGCCAAATCTGAAAACATGAAATCTCTGGATCGGTCTCAACCAAAGCGCCATGTGAGGCTATGAGTTGTAGTATTACGCTCTTGATAGCAGTTGAGACACACGTACACTCTGAACTCCCCGAGCCATAAAATACCATTCGTTTTCTGTTCTTGCATCTTTCAATAAGTAAGTAGAAAGGCATAACCATTCCCGTTCGTGTAGTTGCTGTACTTATTTTTGTACCCATTTCCCAGATAAGGTAGACCACTTTCATGAAACTCCGTCTCATCCGTTCCCTGAATCAGCCCTCAGAACCCTTTTCATTCTCCGTTAAAGCAATAAGGTCAAGACGTTAGTAGTAGCATGTGGTGACCTCATTTTTTGAACTCCAAATCGCCCGTAGTAAACCGCTCGAACTTGACCCTGTTGGGATCGACACCCTGGTTAATGAGGAATTGTGACATCTCGACCATGAAAATCTCAGGACCGCATATATAGTACTCTGCACCACCATGACTGAGGTAGAGCTCTTCGGGCGCTATCCGTGCAAGGTCCATGCGGAGGCCAAAGTCGCTAGAGGAGGAGAGGGAGTCGTCATCTTCGACATCGGCGATCTGGGAGCGAAAGAACTTGGTGATGAAGTTGGCGCGGCTGTAAGCGATCTTGCGGATATGCTCCTCAAAGGGAGCTGCCCGGGCCGAGCAGTGAATCCACGAGATAGGGCGGATAGCCTGGCGTTCGATGATGGTGTTGCAGATGGACATGAGAGGCGTGACGCCGACGCCGGCGGAGATGAGAACGACGGGAAGAGTGCCGGCGGCGTGGGTGTCAAAGAAGAAGTCGCCAGTAGGATGCGTCAGCTCGACAATGTCGCCTGGTCTCTTCTCATCGATGAGATGATTGGAAAAGACACCAGGGTTGAGGTTAAAGGTGGCGGCTCCCTTGCCGACCTTGACGCCCTGGTCACGCTTGACGGTAATGCGGTAGTAATCCGGTCGTGGTGAGTCACTGAGCGAGTATTGTCGTGACTGATAGTGGCCGAGCTCGGGGATTGTGACGCGGATCGAGGTGTATTGACCTGGGTAGAAGTCAGGTAGCCGTTTGCCGTCGACAGGCACCATGTAGAAGGAGAAGATGTCGTCCGTTTCGGCAACCTTTCTTTCGATGCGGAACTTGCGCCATCCCTTCCACTTGTCATCATCGAACTCGCGATACATTTGGGCCTCGCGGCCGATGAGCATCTTTGCGAGGATCCAGTAGGCCTTTGTCCAGGCTTCGCGGATCTCTGGGGTCATGGCAGGACCCAGAACCTGTCCAAAGGCTTGGATGAGGTACTTTCCCACGATGTCATAGTGTTCCGGTAGAATTCCAAGGGAGCAGTGCTTGTTGCACATGCGCTCCAGCTTGGGGATGAGCTCGCTGATGTGGTTGAGGTTTGCGGCGAAGGAAAGGATGACGCCGGTCAAGGCACGGGGCTGGCGGCCGTTGGCCTGGTTGACCTTGTTGAAGTGGTCATGAAGCTCAGGATGAGCCCGCAGCATGTTGGCATAAAATATGGTCGTGATGGTCTCGCCATGCTCACGCAGAGCCGGGATCGTACCCCTGACGAGCTGTGATTGCTTGTATGTCAAAGCCATGGTTGTGATGGTTCTGCACAGAGAATTTGCTGTTTAGCTTCGGATTGAGAGTACTGTTCTGTAGTCCTTGACTGATGGCAGACAGTAACTTGGTAGCCAAAAATGGGAAACCTCACGGTTCTCAAGTAGATACTTCTCGTACCCAGATACAGGGTCAAGGATGGATATCTAGGGGCAGACCGGAACGGGGATAAATGTTAAAGGGGGTATCAACAGAAATGCACAAACGCTACGGAGAAGTGGGTAAACGTCTGCGTGATAGAAGGAGAGCCGGATCCAAAGGTTTGGGAACACAAATGCAGACGTCTCTCTCGCCGCCGGGTTCGGGCCTCGGAGGAATGATATAGAAGCTTTCAACTCCAGCCCAAGATGCCTTCGTGTACCCCGTAGAACCACTCCGATAGACACAAAGCTCAATCCTGTCTCACCCCTCCCCCTCGTCGTGCTCCATCATCGCGTGCGCTCGAGTCTTCGCGGTCTGCATGCTTCGAATCAGGCACCGCCCGTCTCGACGGATAGACATCGTATGATTTGTATGCCGTAGTGTAAAAAGAAAGCTGGTTCCTCATTTGAACACGGCTCTCATGGGCCATAGATGCATGGATTCAAGGGTGGGGGGCCCATAGAGGAAGACACTGGGCGCCGCTAATGGTTAATCCAAGGAACAGCGCCAATGGTAGCTAGTCGTTCGCGATGAACCGAGGAGCGGTTCAAAGTCAGCCCTGTCCATCGCCGGGTGGTACAAGACCGGGAAATCAGGGATACCAGGATCTCACAGGCACTAGGGAGACACCGGTAGGGGTATCAACTGGACCCTGAGGGTGACTTGAAGCCTCTCCAGTGGGACACCGCCCGTGAGCTGCCGAGCAAACCGAAGTAACGAGGAGCTCCGGGGGTCTTCTAGAAGTACGCTAAGAGGCGGGTTTGTGGTAGATATTCCGCACAACTTTTGCTGCATGCAGTCCGAGCTGCCTCGAGGGAAACAAACTGAAGGTCTCAAGCAGTACTCCGTAGCTTTGCAGAGTGGTGATTGAGGATCTCGTGGAGACAGGTACGCTGGCTTATTACCCAGTCTGTCAGATGTAACCGGGTGCACGGAATAGCCCGAATCCTTCTCTTCACAGAGGCTGGAGCAAGGCAGACGGGAAACCTGAGCATGCGGACAGAACCCCCCAGGCTGCGATGGAGGCGGCGGTTGGAGGTGACTCTGAGTTTGCAGTCCTCTAGCTCGTCCCTTGTTCCTAACAGACGTCAGCGACACGCGATGTACAGTGGAGTAGAGAACACGCCACAGCAAGGAATTGCCGAGTTGCAATTGCAAACTCGTATGATGAGATTTGCGGTTTCCGGAATGCCTAATTGAGGGTCCACGGGGCTTCGCCCAATGGTCTCAATATTGATCCTTGGAAGTACTTTGATGCCATGCAAGGCTTTGCTTCTTTGCTTGGGGTGACAGCGAGGAGTGAGAGAAAGACAGAGGGAGAAAACGGGGGAAACAGAGGCGACAAGGGGTTGAGCGGCACATAACCACAAACACTGTGACGCTTCTCCAGTTTACCCAGGAGCACTTTTTCACTTCCCGATTCCCCTTGAGGGGGGAACAATGTCCGTGTGTCATGGACGGCTTTTTGTTCGGCTTTCTGCCCACTATGTTGGAGCGCCGGGGGGGGGGGGGTTGTATTTAATACCGTTCGTCGTCTGTTGGGTCTCACAAGTTACGCTCAAATCTCAACGCGAATTCCCATTACGACGTCGGAAAGAAAACTGAGTTTTGCCAACTGATACAATATCTATTGGTGGAGTTGCAATCATACACCCTTTCTTCGTCAAGTTTCAACTTGAGCCGGAAAGGATTGAGTGGAGTTGTCTTATTTTGCTATTCGCACTGGCCAGTTTGGCTACGGTGAGACACAGCACTACTGCGTGCTCGAACGGGGTGGTTCCTTTCGCTTGTGACTGGAATCTGCAGCGCATATGTACGGATGTGCTCGATGAAAAAGTCTGCTGAATGGAACATCTGCCAGGGCTTCTGATCCGTCTTCCATCCCGGCCGGAGGATCCGCACATGTCGCGATTGTAGAAGCTTACTCACTGCATGTCGTCACGCCACGATCTTCCAGCCTCATCTTGTTTGTCTTCTCTTTTAGAGTAAATGGTGTTGAGACGGAAGCGCCATCGCGTGTCGACACTGTCCGTAGTCGGGATTCCCCGGGCTTTGGCGGCACGAAGCTCATCAACAACCCCGAACCACCCCGCATACAACCCTTGACAGTGGCCTGCTTCTCGAGCCTCGAAGCGGAAACCGTTAGCGGATCAGAGTCTTTCCATACGCAATTGTCAGATTGTCAATGTGACCTCCACCTACAGGTATCCGTAGTATGTACTTCGTAGAGCCCACCCACTGGGCCCGTCAGTGATGTGATGAAGATCTCTTAAGATCTCGATGGACCAACAGAAGACTATACAGTAAAGTAGGGGGCCAAAAGGCCCTCGCGAATTTCCAAGGTGCCCGCCTCTTGTCATTTGTGACAGGTGTCAAATTACAATGCAAACATTGCAATATGAATCTCTCCACGC